ATGATGCGGACGCAGTGTCTGCTGGGGCTGCGCACGTTCGTGGCCTTCGCCGCCAAGCTGTGGAGCTTCTTCATTTACCTTTTGCGGAGGCAGATCCGCACGGTGAGCCTGGGTGGGCGCTGGTCGTGGTGGGGGCCTCTGTCAGCGATGCTCGCGGGTTTTCGGAAGGTGTCGGGCCTCTGTTTGGTCCTGGCGGCGGCTTCCCCCCTTAGAGAACCGGGGCACCCTCAGCAGGGCCTGGGGTGGAACGGGGAGGAGGGGGATCCTTGTAGTAGAGCCAAGATGGGGGGGAGGCGGGGGGCTTAGGGACAGGATTTGGCAATTCTGGGGGCTAGGGTGGTGGGTGGGGCGCTCTTAAAAAAGCTGGAGTTGCTGCCAAAGGAACTGAGAGGCGGGGGACACCTGTTTGATGGCAGCAGATGTGTTCATGTGGGTCTGCGAGAGACCCTCCTGTGGTTAGGAAACTGTGTGTTTGGCCTTAAACAAGGGAGAGACAGGCTTAGGGGTCAAGAGTGGAGGTGGGTGGAAGGGTATCTGTGACAAACAAGGGTGGGAACTTGAGAAAAGCCCTGGGTGTGAGGGAGAAACCCCTGTGGTTTGCATTAAGGCAACTCCTGCAAAAAAGCCCAGAAAACTTCCTTCTGAATGTGAGTGTGGGTGTCTGGGCTCACTGAGATCCTGGCTGCTTTGGCTGTGGCAGGGAGCACAGGAAAGTTCGGGTGTCCTGGCAGGGGACGTGCTTGTCGGGTGCAGGCTGGAATGCCAGGGCCAGGCACCCTGTTTCTCCCCGAGACCCTGGCATTGTGGGAGGTGCTGTGGGCAGTGGAGACTGTGCGTGCATCCGTGTCTGGGTTCCCTCCCTCACAGTTTTTCTCCAGAGTCAAAGCTTCTGAGACTAATGCCATTTGATGAATGGGCTCTTGGGTTCTCATCACATTGGGGAGAATCCTCTGAAGTCTGGGGAAAATTAAGTGAGCGAGGGCGCAGAGGTTCTCTGGGCCGTACCCTTTGGCACACCTCAGTAAAACTTGAAAGAACAAAACCAGGTGGGAGCTGCCTATGTCAGGGAATTTCCAGCAAACCCTGGGTGGTAGTGGTGGACTTGATTGACTTGGGGGAACGGGCCTGGCCTTGCACTGAGTGTCTCCTTTACCATCCGACTTCCATTTCCTGACTTAGAGTGTGGGTTGTTCTGGGTGGTCATGGTGGGAGGCAGGGCTGTTTCCCTGAGACCAGAGTTAGGAGCCAAGAAGAATTTGGGGTGAGATGCTCAGATGTGTGGGTCAGCCCCCGGGGTTTTCTCTACATGTTAGCTGCCATCCCTCTTTGCTTGGCCTAGCTCTGAGCATCCCACCTTCTTCTCCTGACACGTCAGTTTCTGTTCTGGATGCAGGGAGTAGTCTTTTAGCCCAGCCAGAGGTTAGTTGCTTTCCTTTGAGTGGCACTGACCCCGCAGTCCTTTGTCTTCCCTTCCAATCTGGTCTTTTCCCCCACCCCCTTTCTGGCAGATGCTTGGAGCAGTCCCTACATGCCCAGCATGTGCAACCCGAGATAGCAGGGCAGGACACCCGAGCTGTGTCGGCCCTCACGATGGCCCAGGGAGTAAAGAAGGGCAGATGCCTTGGGATTAGGGGTGAGGGCTCTTTGGTTTGCAAGGGGAACCTGGTTCTGGTGAGACTCAGGGCCTGTGGATGAACTGGAGAGCATTGGCCTGTACCTTAGAAGAAAAGAGCAGAGGAGGGAATTGCCAGGCTTTGCATGGGGGAGATTCAAGTGTTAGAAATAAGAGCCTTCGGAAAAGGTTTGGAGAAACTAGAAGGCTGAGCTAGTGATGTCCTTGTCCCATCTTCACCTCTTACTCATAGCCCTTACTTCACTCTGGCCTTCTGCACACCCTATCAGTTGGCTTGGCGGGTGGGGCTTTCCAGTGTCCTCTGCCTTGCCCTGGGTACCAGGAAAAGGAGGCTGTTCAGAGGGCTTAGGTTCTTTGCAACTTGTGACTTGGCTCATAGAGACAGAAATGGACAGGTGGCTGGTTAAAATAGGCCTGGTGGCCCCTAGCCAGAGGAACTGAGCTGACCTGACAACCCCTGGATTCCCTCATCCTCTGCTCCCCTAGGAGCCAGAGGACCTCCCTTCTTGACTCCTACCCTGTGTCCACTAAGGAATCTAAGGCTGATGGGAGTTGTCACAAAGAATCCTTGGGGTGGAGGTGGGGAGAGCTGTGCAATTCTTTGTTCAAAGTAGCAAGGGGATATCAGAGTTAAGAGAGCAGGTTCTTGTATCGCATTGCATGGGTACAATCCTGACTCCACCACTTTATCGATTCTGATATTAACTGACCACCCCTTGATACAGTGTTCTAGGACAGCACGATGGAGACAAAATCCATGCTCTCATAAAGTTTTTTTTATTCTAATTGGAACAAACAACTAAATAATATAATTCCTAGCTGTGTGGCCTTAGGCAATGTATTTAATCTCTTTAAGCTTCAGTTTCTTTATTCTTAAAATAAGAGTTGATATTGTTGTTTTGAGAAATAAATGAAGTCATCTTAAGTCATTTACACAGTGCACAACACACGGTAAATGTTCAACATGTGCTACCTATTGTTACTGAGGAAGATTTCCTTGTTAAGGATCCTAATCCTCTCTTTTGTTCTCAGGTAATTCAGTACCAAACTGTTCGATATGATATCCTTCCCTTATCTCCTGTGTCTCGGAATCGGCTAGGTGAGTATGCTGGCTGGGAAGATCCTTTAAGGTGAGGGAGGGTTCAAGGTCTGGGCTAGAAGTTGGTTGGTGTTATTTTTTCCTGTTGTGGTTTAGGCCAGGTGAAGAGGAAGATTCTGGTGCTGGATCTGGATGAGACACTTATTCACTCCCATCATGATGGGGTTCTGAGGCCCACGGTCCGACCTGGAACACCTCCTGACTTCATCCTCAAGGTGTGTGCTGTGGGAAGTGATGGAATGGTTATGTCTGTTCTACTTAGACCTTTCCCAGTCCCAGAATGTGTTGTCTCCATCCCCTGGCACCAGTGTCAGCCTGAAGAAGGGAAGCAGGCAGTGGGAGGGGGGGGATGTCCTTCAGGCCGTGCTGTGGTGCTCAGGACTTCCCCCAGTCCTTCCCTGTTCCTCTACAGGTGGTAATAGACAAACATCCTGTCCGGTTTTTTGTACATAAGAGGCCCCATGTGGATTTCTTCTTAGAAGTGGTGAGTTTGCAGAAGCCAAAGGGAGCTCTGTGATGAAGGAATGGTTTTAGGGCTCTGGTAATTTAGAAGATTTGGAGGAAATAAGGGGTGAGGAGAAATGGCTGAGGGCAATTTTGGGGGTGGGAGGTTGTGGTATGGTTAAAGAATGGCTTTTGGTAGTTTGGGTTCATTTGTTCGGGTATAATTCTGTTCTTCCACAGGCTTCCTGCTCTTCTGTTCTTGCATCTCTGAATCTTAATTAAGGGTGTACGGTGCCTAAGACTCTGAGTTTGGGAGCACTCAGAATTTTGTGTCCTCAGAGACATTCGATAGTCCCAGTGAAAAGGCACTATATGTCTAAATGAATGATCACCTCTTCTGATACCTCCTCCCCCTATCTATTTCAGGTGAGCCAGTGGTACGAGCTGGTAGTATTCACAGCAAGCATGGAGATTTATGGCTCTGCTGTGGCAGATAAACTAGACAATAGCAGAAGCATTCTCAAGAGGAGATATTACAGACAGGTAAGGGGCTAGAATCCAGGTCTAAGTGAACTCCGGAGGCAGGTCACCAGGGAGGGATTTGAGTTTGAGGCAATTGCCTTGCAATGAGACCTGGGGACATGAGGGAGGCTTACTGCATGGTCCCCTTTGTGGGAGTTTGGCTGCCCATGGCGTTGTTGGGGTTGGGGGAGCAATCACAGAGGATTGAGTCGCCTTTTGATACCCAACTCACCCTGCCTTGTAGCACTGCACTTTGGAATTGGGCAGCTACATCAAGGACCTCTCTGTGGTCCACAGTGACCTCTCCAGCATTGTGATCTTGGATAACTCCCCAGGGGCTTACAGGAGCCATCCAGGTATGGGGAAATGTGGTGAGTCTGCAGGCCCAGGAGGTGGTTCTGAGGAAGTATTTTGAATGCCTGGAGCTGGGATGCCTTACTTTACTGTAGGTCGAGATGCAAGTTGTTCCTCTTTTAAATGAGATGTTTCCCCCTCCCCCACATGTCCATTTCGTAAATCAGATTTCTCACAGCAGATATACATCATATAATGGCAATAGGTATGACTAGAAGCCTCATGCTAGTGTGAGATATGGTGATTGCAAGTTAATTTTATTTTGGAGTACAAATCAGGAAGGTTTTTACTAGGTTATTGATTTGGGTAGGTGACTGGTGGTGAGGTAAATACATGTATTTTAAAGTAATGATCCCTACTCCCAAACAAAAGAAAAAATACCTAGTCCCTCTTGAATCCATTGTTTCTTCTCATGTGCATTTTCCACTCGACTTAGACAATGCCATCCCCATCAAGTCCTGGTTCAGCGACCCCAGCGACACCGCCCTTCTTAATCTGCTCCCAATGCTGGATGCCCTCAGGTAAGGAAAACTGGACACTTAGATTTCTGAGGAAAGGAGGAGGTGGGGGGATTAAAAGCTTGTCCTGTTTTACTTCCTTATCTCTCTTCCCGTAAGCATTTAGCATTTGAATGGAAGTCTTATACTAAAGCTGACTTTTTAGCCTAGGGGTCCTCAAACTTTTTAAACAGGGGGCCAGTTCACTGTCCCTCAGACCGTTGGAGGGCCGGACTATAGTTTAAAAAAAAACTATGAACAAATTCCTATGCATACTGCACATATCTTATTTTGAAGTAAAAAAACAAAACGGAAACAAATACAATATTTGTATTTGCATGTGGCCCACGGGCCGTAGTTTGAGGACCCCTGTTAGCCATTGTGTTTTGAGCAGACTGAACCTCAGTCTCATGTGAAATGGTGACTGCCCCACATCTCCAGTGAGGCTGCCTCTGTCAACTCTAAGGACTCTACCAATGCAAGTTATTGTCATCCCAGGTTCACCGCTGATGTTCGCTCTGTGCTAAGCCGAAACCTTCACCAACACCGGCTCTGGTGACAGCTGCTCCCCCTCCACCTGAGTTGGGGTGGGGGGGACAGGGAGGGTGAGCCCTCGAGATGCTGTCTGATGCCCTGTCCAATGGTGAGGACTGCCTGGGCAGGGTCTGCCCCTCCCTCCCCTCTCTGCCCTGGGAGCCCTGCACTCCATATGGAACCTGGATGGACACATGGGCCAGACTCTGAAGCAGCCTCTCTCTAACTTCCTGTTCGACTGGGACATAAGCAGAGGTCTAGGAGAGCCGAAACAGTGTCTGTGATGGAGAGAGAGGACTGGCCAGAGTGAGAGACAGACATTCAATAATCCGGGAGGCTCAGAGAGAAGCCAAGCCAGCTTTGTTGTGATTTAATTTTTTAAAAAACTCTTGTACAAAACTGATCTAATTCTTCACTCCAGGGGCTGGGTTGTGGGTGGGAAACTGGGATTTGGGCCACTGGATTTCCCCCAGACTTGTCCCCTCCCCCCTCCCCTCCTTTTCTCTACATTTTCCTTTCTTAGATTTCCTCAGACCTGTAACCAGCTTTCTCTCTCTGTTCCCCCCTCTTTTAAACCATGCATTATAACTTTGAAACCAAAGCTGCCCCAGGTCCTTCTCTGGGGTTATGGGACGTGAAAGGCAGAGGGGAGAGACTGCTGCTGGTCCTAGGGCTAGGGGGAAAGGTGGTGTCGCTTGGCGAGGATGGAGTGGTCAACATCTACATCAGATGCTTTGGTGGCGGGATGGGCGTCCTGGGCAGGAGCAAAAGGACAGCTGTCTGTCCTGAGGGAACTTGAGCTGCAGAGCAGGACACAGATGTATGAAAGGAGAAGCCTGGACGCCAGAGAATGCGTGTAGCTGGAGAAAGGCCGGGCTGGGGGCTGACTAGACCAGCTCAACGGTCTATGCCCCCGGGCGGCGGCGCCCTCGGTCCTCCGCTCCCCCGGGCCAACCGGACCAACCTTCGTCTCCCGCTCCAGCAGTTTCGGGCCCTGCCTCCCTCCGCCCTCCTCCCGCGAGCCGGCTCTACTTCTCGCGTTCGCCACGTGACGTTCCGCCCTTCCCTCGGATCACATGATTTCGTTGCTACGAGGCCTGAAAGTGTTCTTCCGCGCCGACCTAGTCCCCACCTTTCGAGCCTGCTCTCCAGTCCCTATTGGTCCGCTCTCCCGAATCCTAAGCGTTCTGTGCGTCTCTGCAAACATATACTTGGTTTCTGCCCTCTATTTCGGAAGACCGTCTTCTTCCCCGGGGTACTACTTTGTTTTGGTGTCAACGGCCGCCTTTTGCGTACCAACTATTCGTGAATAGCTGTCCTTGTAATTATCTCTGCTTTCCTCTACGTTATGTTCGGAAAGAATTTGGAGGGGAGCCGAGTCTCAAATTACCGTTACGATCTCCTAGCTTTTCTTTCCTAGCTTCGTGGGGAAGGTCGGGAAATGGGTTTTCAGTTATTTTTTACGGTAGCGAAGACCAACCACCCAAATTTGCTACGTCGCCGTGTAGCCCACAAATTGATTCCAAAGTGATTACGCTGACGGCGTGGGGGTGCGGTCAGGAGGTGGTGCTAAGCGATCCGCGTTAGAGCTGCTGCGCTGGTGGCGTAGCGTAGCCCGCAGGGCGGCCCCAGATGGGCGGGGGCGGGGTTGGCGAATAGGGAAGTAGCGCAAGTCTTGGGATCGCTCCGCTGAATCCGCCTGCGCGTCGCCACCGTCGCTGCCGCCGCCCCCCGTCCCGGGCCCCCCCTCCCTGGGTTCCCTCAGCCCAGTCCGGTCCAGCCCGGTTCCCGGGAGGATGAAGTTCGTGTATAAAGAGGAGCATCCGTTCGAGAAGCGCCGCTCTGAGGGCGAGAAGATCAGAAAGAAATACCCGGACCGGGTCCCGGTGAGGACGGTAGCCAGGGCCGAGGGCGCGGGGCGCTGGTACTGACGCCACAGCCTGGGCTTGGGTCCGGAACGGGCAGCGCGGCCATCAGATTGTGGGCTGCGGTGGGGTTGGGAGCGACCCTGAAACTGCTGTCGGGGGCTGGAGGTGAAAGGAAGGGTAGTGGCGGTAGCTGGGGGCTCAGGGGTGTGGATGGGGGAGATAGACCTTGGGATTTGGGTCGGAGGCTGTAGGGAGTTTGACAGTCTGAATGTCACATGGTCATTCCCCCAGCTAGCTAGGCTTTGGAGATTGAACCCATAGCCGCCCAGACAAGTCGTCCCGTGGGGTTCAGGTAGTTGTTTGTTATGACGCCCTCCATTCAGGGACCTGGGTGGTTAGGGGAGTTGAGTCAGTGGGGTCCCGGGTCTCTACTCAGGGCTGCACCACGTGTTCAGAGACAAAGAAATGAGTCTGGGGTGTTTGGGTGCTAGGAATATTGTTGCTTGGGTTGCTGACAGGTGGAGCTGGGGGCTATAATATCAAATGTCTTCTAATTTTCATCTTCCCTTTATCAGGTGATAGTAGAAAAGGCTCCCAAAGCTCGGATAGGAGACCTGGACAAAAAGAAATACCTGGTGCCTTCTGATCTCACAGGTGGGAACCTTACCACAGTACCCGGATTTTGCTACCTGTGGGAGGAGGCTCCACATAGCAGCTGTTATTTTGAGGGCATTTGTGATACCTGTGACTTTATCACATCTTATATTTTGGGCAGTTGGGCAGTTCTATTTCTTGATCCGGAAGCGAATTCACCTCCGAGCTGAGGATGCCTTGTTTTTCTTTGTCAACAATGTCATTCCACCCACCAGTGCCACGATGGGTCAGCTGTACCAGGTATGGCGATTGGGAAGTAGTGCTGGTTTTGGAGAGGAGTTGGAAGAGCTTGAGGGGAAGGAAGTTTTAGGTCAGCAGTTCTTGGGTTAGCTGAGTAGTCCTGGGTTGGAGGTTTGTACAGGACAGTGGGAGTAGACTGAAGGGAGAGAACAGCGTGCTGGAGCAACTGTTCTGATATGGACTCTCCCCCACCCTCCTCATTCCAGGCAGCAGAGAACCGTTTGAGGGTTTTTTTTGTTTTGTTTTTTTTGCCCAGGGTTGCTGCTAGAGATAATCCTCCTGTTAGGCTGCTAGGTCCTGGAACAAGTGAGGGAGAGAATTAAGGCACTGGTTTTGAGGGTCTTCAAAAAATGGTTTTTGAAGAATGTGTTTGGGTGTTGGGTGGTTCAAGTAACTAAAGGCAAGATGCCTGAGCACCATTATTTTCTGCTTTCACCCCAGGAACACCATGAAGAAGACTTCTTTCTATACATTGCCTACAGCGACGAAAGTGTCTATGGCCTGTGAAGCTGCTGCGCCTGTAGTGGGGGGTCCCATTCTACATAGAAAGAGATGGCCCCCTCTTCCTTGACTTCTTCCTTCAGGACCTGTACTTCCTAATGTTTGAGGCTCTTCTCCAGACCCTCTTAGCAGGGGGCTCATGGGGGAGATGGCCTCTGGTACCTCTCCTCTCTCCTGCCTTCTTCTTTCTACCACCTTTCCCACTCTGCTTTAGACTTCTTGATTGTCGATCTCTGTCACATCCAGTGATTGTTTTGGTTTCTGTTCCTTTTCTAACTGCCCAAGGAGCTCAGAACCCCAATACTGGTTCCCTTTCACTATCTTTTTGTGGGTAGATGGAAGGGGATGAAATTGTGGGGGGGAGGTAAGAGGCAAATCAATAAAGAGGAAACCATCAAGCTGAACTGGATTTTGCTTTGTGTTGCTACCTTCTATTGTTTTTTAGTGGTTGGTGGGAAAAGATGAGATTGGGGGGGATAGTAACATATTTTGGTTTATTCCGTTGATGTTGGGCTTTTCCTTGTGCATGAAAAGGTGCTTTTGTTGTGATGGATGGGGTATCCTGAGTATTGTTTCTTGAAATTCAGTTGTATATACCTGTGTATTGGGTCCTGATGTAAAAGAGTAACATTTTTACTGGGTTCCGGTGGGGAAAGTTTGAAAGTATCTGCTTTACATAAATACATCCAAGTTTGTTCCTTTTGGATTAAGGAAGAGATTTTGTCACTTGTCCAGACTTTGTGCGGGCATGTGGGATCTAGTGGAGTGAATCCAAAGAGGGAGAAGACTAGGAGGAGGGATCTATTATTACCAGAACTTCATCTCCCAGCAACCACTTCTCTGGCCGGAAGTGGGGCGGTCCTCCAAGGGAGAAAGAAACTGCAGAGTGAGGCAGTATGGTGGCCGAGAGTTCTAATCCCTTCTTTCCCCTTCTTATTTAGTCCCGCCCAGCCTACATTTCCCAGGAGCCTGCGCGCGCGTTTCCGCTCTACCCTCCGCTACCAATCTCCCCGCCACTCCCAGGGGGAGGGGAGTGGTTTAGTGCGCCGGCGCGAAACCGTAGCTTGTTGGGAATTGAAGTTCCCAAGGCTCATGCGGTCCCCTTCCCGCTGCCCCCAGATGGACTACAAGTCCCTTGATGCTTTGCGCGTCGGCGCCCGCGAAGGGAGGGGAGGAGGGAGTGGAAAGGAGGGAGGAGGAGGAGGAGGAGGAGGAGGAGGGAGCAGGCGGCCGGCGGCGCGGGGGGAGGGGGCTCGGTCCGGGAGTGCGGGAGGCAGTGGTAGAGGGAGGTGGCGGCAGCGGCTAGCGGACTCGAGTCACAACTGGGGCCAGGCAGACACCTCTGTGGAGCGAGGCAGCGGGAACACCGAGCACCGGAGGCGGCACCGGGATCCCCGGCTCGGGAGGGGGCCGCCGGACCGGGAGGAGGGGAGGGGGCGATGCTGGAAGCCATGGCGGAGCCCAGTCCCGAAGGTGAGCTCTCGACCGGCACTGAGCACTCAGCCGGAGGGGGGCGGGCAAGGAATCAATTGGCAAACTTGGAGGTCGAGCCCGGAGTCCAGCGAGGGAGGTGGGGAGGGGCTCGGGGGCTGCCCCTGGAGGTGGAGGGCGACGAGTTGGGAGACCTTGGGGAAGAAGGAGTGGGAGGCTGTGCCGGGGGTAGTTGGAGACCAGATGCTGTGTGAGGCGGGTGGAGGGGGGAGTGGGAGCTGGAGATCAGCCTGGGGTTAGGGGGCGAAAGGGCCTCCGGCCAGTCGGAGCCCTGGCGCTGGGTGGCTGGGGGCTCTGGGCCGGAGAGTAGTTGAGAGAAGGTGGACGGAGTGGGGAGCCGGTTCCCCGAGGTGGGGAGTTGGTGGCGGCGGCGCCGAGCTCCCGGCAGTTGCCGCCGGAGGTGGCCGGTGTTTGTTGGAGGGCGGGGAGAGTTGCGGGGAAAGGGGAGCCCGGGTATTGTCTGCGGCAGAGGGACCTGTGCCGGGAGAGCCCGCCGGGAGCGCGGAGGTGAGGAGTTTGGGGCGTGGGGCGGGGTGCGGGATCGAGCCGGCGAGTTGTGCTGCGAGTGGGGGACTCGGTCGGCGAGGGTGAAAGGCTCGGAGTTGCGTAGGGTGAGGGGCAGCGGGGGCTGCTGCCCGGGAGAGGGGAGCAGGGTGGGGGCCAGAGTGAGGGGT